TTATGAAAATGTTTTGGTCTGGAAAACAGGAGGCAGTGACATCTGATGTCACGTTCCTGTTAATAATGTGGGAATAAGCGGGCCGGTGTAGATGGGAAAATGCCAGGGGCCAAAAATCGCTCCCAGTCCAGCCTGACCTGGTCTAACATTTTATTTCTAAGGATCCCTGCTGGGGAAGAGGGCCCCAGTCGGGCTCTCATAGTGGTTCCCAGGGCTGCTTCTCTTCAACGGGCAGTTTTTGTACTCGGAGGACTCGACGTCCTCCAGCTGGAGAGGGGCCAGTTTTCTTCTGGGAGACCCGATCATCTCCTCGTAGATGGGCGCCGGGGAGTTTGACTTGGGGCTCTGACGGGCCTTACCCTAAACACCATCGAAACACGACAGGAGAAGAAAAACAAATCAGGGAACTGAACAAACTAAGAAACGACAAACTCTCGATTTCCTGTGTCAAAATCAGAGTTTTTCATTCTCTCTTCCAGATTGTCTACAATTATTCAACCTCCAGAGGAGTTAAAACCTTTCAGGAAAGTATGAAAAAAAAACCTCTTTTCTTTAATCATTATATGATTAAAAAAATATTGCGAAACATAAAATATGTGTTGCTGCTAAGCTTTTAGAAAAACATGCTGACAACTTGCAGCAAAGCTTATGAAACCAGAGCGGTTTTTGTGGTGAGCTGGAGAGGAACTACTCTAGCACGCTCTGAGCTAAGCAGGTGCTGTTTTTTTACCCCCCTCCCCTCCTCCTTCTATGAGCGACATCTAATTGCAGCAACCTGCAAAAAAAAAAAATCACCTTAGAAAGGGCGACACATCCAACGAGGATCAGGAGGAGGATGAGGACGCCCACGGCGCCTGACAGGGCGTAGAGCAGCGTGGGGTAGCTGGAGCAGACGCACCGGTTGGCTGCAGGAAACAAAAACAAAAAAAAAAACACACAGACACGTTTAAGATAAAGACAATTTCATTGTGTGAGATATAGAAAAAGGTGATAAGAGAATGTGCGCATTAACAGCTCATGTGAGTCGGACTAAAAGCAGAAACCACAGACTTCCTTCCTCCTGAAGCTGCAGTTTGAATTTATTGTTATTTGAAGGACAGCGGTTACTGCTGAGAGGAGGAGATGGAAAGATCCGGAGCGTTCATGAATAAGAACCCACAGAACCAGGTTATCATCGTAACGCAGAGGAACTGATATGATCCACACACTTTGGCCGTTAGCAGGAGAGGAATCTAATCCCTGACAGCTGATTGGCTGGAGATGTTTTGATAGTAGAAGCGATCACCGTTTACATTCTGTGTAGTC